GGGGGGGGGGGGGGGGTGTACTCATAGTCGTGCATGCCGTAGTCGTTTGACCATTGACCTCGCATCCTTACAAAGCCGGGACGGAGCACGCCGGGTTCTCACCGGACCAGGCTCTCACATCACCAAGCGCGAAGCGCCGTGAGGTATTTGGCGAGTCGCATGAAGGGTGAGCTGCATCCTGCTAAGGGTGTTCGGCATCTTGTGCTTACTTCCTTGCGTACGGATGACAGCTACGTATGACTTAATTTATTTTCTGGTGCTTTCACTTCCAGAGACAGTTGTAAGCACTGTGTAACTGCCTCGAGGAAGCTTGACCATTTTAACACAACGTGGTGCGATCATCCCCCGTTGCGCGGAGTGAGGTTTCTCGACCCCGCACAACATGATCTACTCGACCACCATTACGGTTACGGGGGGGGGGGGGGTTAAGGGGGATATCTCTTGGATATTTTGTCTGCAAGGCTCAACCGTTTAGAGCACACGTGCTCGGGGAGGCGGCTTGGCGTGATTTGTCGAATGCCATGAGAGCAAGCGGCACGTATATATATACGTCAAACGTATTGCAGGGTATGATGGGATGGTGCAATAGTATACCTACCACCCCCTCGCCGGTCATTTCTTCTGACCACTCTCCCTCTCTCTCTCTCTTTCTCAGGCCAGGGGCGGAGAATTGGCAAGACCATTGGACACCCTCGTACTTCCCGATATGTAACCGTGTTGAGGTTCGCGCGGGGGACTTGGTCCGCATGAAAGTCACCCACTCGGAACTGAATATCATGTTTGAGGTGCTAGCGGTTGAAAAAGAACCCGAGCAGCAGCAACAGCAGCAGCAACAGGAGAAGGTGGAAAAAACAGCGGCTATTGAAGGCACCAATGAAGTTGCAGGTGCGTCTTGAGCCTGTTGCGTGTTTCGAGCAGCAATATTTCGACTCCCCCATATTCGCTTGATACCCTGCTGCAGCGGTGCCGCTCAAGTACATCGGTTCGCTCACGGGCAGAACTATCCGGTGAATAACCCCCCCCCCCCCGAAGACCAGAAACGTAAAGAGCTCCCAAATGTTGGTGGTGTCTCTAGTAGGTGTAGGAACGGTGCTCCGTCTCGAAAGGGACGCGTGGTCAATGGTCAAATGACTACGGCAAGCAACAAATGAGTACGCCCCCCGAAGACCCTGACTGTCACCTCTCCACCGCTCCCAGACGTTCCTACCAAGGCTGCAACCCTGAAGCGCGACCGTTCTCCGGGAACCGCAGAGGAAGGCCCGAGCCGTACCCTCGCCACCACCAACGGGACCAGGGCCACGCGAGATGTCGACGCAGACGGGTACCGCATGGAGAAGGAGTGGGACCCAGAGCCGTGCGGGTGTGGCTGGCACGTGCTCTGCAACCCCGAGCGCATCGGCATGCTCACGGACGAGCACAGGCGGGAGGCGTACCGGCTGGCGGTGGCCGAGCTGCTCCGGGGCCTCCCGGGGGGGCCTGGCACGGTGCTGGACATTGGCGACGGGGCCGCCTGCGCGTTCTTGGCGGTGGGAGAGGGCGCGGGAGCGGCGGTTTCGTACGAGCCCGCGGAGTGGTCGCACCTCTTGGTCGGACAGGTAGGAACAGCATCGTGTGGAGTTCCATCTTGTTTTGTCCTTGCAAGCTACGGATCTGCTGTTGATTGGACCATTGGTTTGGTGAGGGGCGGAGGTGTTGCGGCGCGAGAAGGCTGTGATTGGGTTGGACCCGCAAAGGACACGACAGTCTCGCGTTGTGTAGCGAGACCAAGGAGAAGAAGCTCCCTATCGTAGAAACGGCGAAGACGCAATCACGTAGGAAGTCCTTGGTCGAGACAAGTGCAATCGTACGAGCAGCTATCTTTCCCGTCTTCCATGCACACCTATGCCCGTGTCTCTATGCCGGGGCACAACCGATAGGTAGCTCGAAACAACGACCTGGAGCAGATGCACCTGCTCGAGGCGGCGGACGAGTGGCCTTTTCTGAGGGGGGTGATCGGGAAAGGAGGAGATGACGACGGTGGGGAGGAGGCCGCGGGCGAGGGGCAACAGGAACACCTGCTGTGCGATGCCCTCGTAGGGGAGCCGTTCTACTACCGGGTAGGGTAGGTGAAGGGTGTCGTGGAGTGAAGTCAGTGGACCGCCGTTGCTGCAGCTATCTTTGCAGTCGTCAGCAACCGTTGACGCAGAGCGGTATCCAAAGCACGGAGCGAATCACTGTAGGGGCTTTGCCCGAGCGGCGTCGACATTGAGGTTACACGCAGACACGCGCCTATTTGTACACCTACCCCGGTACCCGCTGCTGTCGTTGCCTATTTCTGGACGGATACTGTCGTGTTGGTGGTGTTGTTGATGCTGCCGTGGCCCTGGCGTTGTGCATGTATCAGCCGTTCGGTACACCTGGTGGACCCCTTTCGTAGAAAACGAACACGAAAACGACATTTTGCGTAGAAAACGCAACAACCCAGCCTTCCGTTGTCAGTGGTGGCCTAAATATAAGCCTACGCTGCGCGATCCCGCGCGCAAGAGTATCAGTGGCATTCCTTACTTCTTGACGGTGGCGGTGAGGTTTTGATGGTCCCAGTTCGATGCTTCGTCAGTGGACACAGACAGCATCATCACATTCTTCCCGTTCCTTTGCATGCAGCATTACCTGAGTCAACAGGCCGTGGCGGACCCGGGTAACTTGACCCCGTGTCCTTACTCAGCAGGGACCGTAGCTGTGTCTTGGGGTCGTTTTGTTTGCCCTCTGTTTGCCCGGGGTGTCTATGCGGGGGATCAACTGCCGCCACACGGTCGGTATTGTACGCAGATGCAATCCCTGGTGCTGTATGAGGCGATGAACTTCTGGTACCTTCGACGAGTCTTCAACCCTGCGCTCAAGCCGGATGCTAGGTGAGGAAAGGAGAGCACTATTCCGTCAACAACACCCCTTCCGAAGAACTGCGAGATATTCAATGAAGTAGTAATTTTCTGTTTTTTTCTTGCAGAATGGTGACACGCATGAAACGGTAAGTCCGTTCAGACGTGCCGTATATGTGCTTGCAACCATGCGAAACTCCACACAGCAGTCCGTTCTCCTGCCTCTTCTCAAGGCCACGTGGTACTATGGGAGAGAGAGTTTGTGTTTTTTTGGCAGTGATGCGCTACTGTTGCCCTGCTGTTTCTTGGCCTGTTCTTGTTTGTCATCCTGCCCCGCATTTGGACATAGATTGGCGGGGGCGCTCCCCATCCAATCTGTAACACGCGAGTTCGTGATGCCTGCTGCCAATTGAGTTTCATCTCTCCTTGTACCTCCTTTTATCTGTCTGACACAACGAACGCTGTCGTGGAGCTTATTTCCTCGAGTATTTACTTCCTGAACACGGCAGGGTTCTGCCGATGAGAGCGATCGTCTGCGTAGCTGGCGTCGAGCTCGCCGACCTCTCTCTCAGCCACGGTCCCGTTGGGTCCGTGCTGGGCTTCGACCACGCGCCGTACGACGAGCGTGTCCGCCCCAGGTGGCACGAGCTTTTGTACCCGTACCCTCTCAGGGCGTACAAGCACAGGTGCGGCGGCGAGTGTGGGGCACCTTTTTTTTGGGGATGTGCAGGGCGCTGGTTGTGCTTTGAAAGAGGCGTTTTCGTAAAGCGGCATCGATGCTTCCCCTGCGTCAGTCACCCTCATCTTTCGGCGCGCATCTCCCAACGTTCCTGTATTTTTTTGAAACCGCTACCTCGCCTTGCCAGACTGCTTACGGATGCGCAAGACCTGCTATCATTCGACTACACTTCTCTGCCGACGGACGTCGAGTCTACGGTAACAATATCGCCCTCGTCGTCTGGGACTGTGCACGCCGTAGCTATCTGGGTCGATTACCAGCTCAATGAGACTTCGCGTTGGAGCACCTACGGGGGATTGTTCCATGGGGGGGCGGGTGACGGGGGTGCCGGGCGGAGAGGGGGTGTTCACGAGAAGCAGATGCTGAGATTTTTGTCGAAACCGCTCGACATCAACGGTGGCGATGCTGCTGCTGCTGCTGCTGCTGCTTCGTTGACAGTGTCCGGGCGTTTCGATGTAGAGGGCGGGTGCATGAGCTTTGAGGTAGTGGAGCCGTAGAGTGTGGTGGAGCGAAATCCAAGAGTCTACTGCTCGATAGCGCATTCTACATATCATTGCAAGGGAGGAGGATTGTAGCATTCTTACAGCTGGCCAGTCATGAGTTGCTTTGCTCCTGAGAAAAGTCGACGGACAGTTTTCACCGCATTTTTGCTGGGCGATCTTGGGTGAATCCTTACAGTATCTAAGCATGTCACACGTGTGTCAGTGTAGACTATGAGTCGTAGGCGCGGTTGACACTGAAAGCCTGGTAACTGCCAACAGCCCGCAAAACCTTGTGGTGTAGCCTAGCTGTCTGCCACATGGAGAACGTTTCTCCTCGTAAACTCGCCTGGGGTACTCCGAACTCATCCGACCAAAACTTTGCACGTCGTATCTACGATGTACCTGCGGGATTCAGGGTTGAGCATCACCGATGGTACTGTAGAAGCAGGCCAATTGTCGGTGTGTGTGCCTTTAATGTTTGCATTCAACGCGCTAACCGGCGACCAATGAGAAGACGTCAGTCTCAGTGCGATTGAAAAAAGGAAAAACTTCTAAATGCTGTGAACTGGGACCCGTGAGGGGGCGTCAATGGTGTGTGGTGTGTGTGTGTCCGTTCCGTCTATTGTGGCGCTGGGTTTCAGGCCTCTCGGCGTATAGTCTAAACCTGACGTATCAGTCGGGGTCACACAGGAAGGTCACACAGGAGCTTTTTTCATTTTTCGTTTTTGTTTTGTTGTCCCACCCTTCCCCCTGCGAGGTGTACTTCTCGATTTCTGGGACATATTGCAGCAAAGGTTGTGGTATATCTTTTGTGCTCAACCTACATCTAGCATTTGTACGTAGGGCACACAAGGACGCTGACGTCTCCGTAAGGTACGAGACCCAGCCCAGACGGTAAGCTAAGCCAGTCTCTGTGATCTATTCGGTCGGTTGGTTGGATCCGCACTGCTGTAGGGCCGCCCCGCACCCAGGGCTCTAACCAACGTGTGAGTGCGGTGAGTGTAGCCCAGTGTAGGATGGGTGTCCCCGGGTCCGAAAACCACACAAGGCGTGCGTATGTATAACTCCCGAAGCATTCTCGTCTGCAGATCCCCCAGCTTCGGGAAGTTGCGGGAAGGCCGCGGAAACGCGCAAACCCACACTTCACTTGCTTGGCACCTCTGGCTATCCCTTTGGCGTGTCTCACTGCATCTGCATGGATAAGGCCCTAGTAGAGGTGCAGAAGACATCCCGGTTTTACGTGTACGGTGCAGTGGGGAGCTCTTCAGCCGTCCAGTGGCCGGCTTTCGAGAAATCGACAACCGCTGCTAGTACTTCAGCAGGTTCGCGTGCCAAAGGTAGCAAGAAGGGCGCCGTTCAGCACAAGAAAGCGTGGGCGCAGACGACAGAGATGGCTTCCAAGGACACCGACAGGGTGAGGCTATTGGCTGGCGCAATCTGGTCGAGGTTGGTGATGGTATCTCCACGGTCGCTTTCGCAGTTGCAATCTTATCCGTTCCTCTTTTCTCGGTGGTGTGCGGCTGCGATTGCCCCGCACACCGCACACTCTGTGCGAGATACGAGATACTGATATATGCGCCCACAGCCAAGCGCTTACTGTAGGTCTTTGCGGTTCAATCGCTTGCTTGCGAGGAAAAAGGAAGCAGGAAGACATATTGTGCAATGTTGGGGTGGTATCTTTGGAGAGCAGCAGAACTACAGATAAGACGGCACCTGTCCTATTCGTTGTATTGTGGCAGAACGCCGGCACTCTCTAGAAGGTGTCCGCGGTTTCTCTTCCGCAGTTGACACACTTATGCCCACTGACGGCAGTTGTGACGAAACAGGGGAGTCGGAACAAAAACAGCTCGCACGAAGGTGCACGCGGCGTACCCCTTCTCTCTTCAGTGTACAAAGTAGCTTGTGGCATAGGGCATCGGGTCGACGATACTCGGAACACGTGTTAACTACTGTAACACTGCTGCATTGTTGGCTCAATGGGGCGAGAAGAATGCCCAATCGGCGAGCTTGGCCATGCCGTGTCCCGCCTATGCATGGTGCCCGCCCCAAACGGCGTTTGGCCAAGCTCGACATTCTCTAACCTGATCGTGTTGATCTGGTTCAGGCTTTGCATGTTCCTGAGGATATGGATGCCGACGGGCTGGCCGCGGCGGTAACCAAGCAGGGATCGCTGGTCAGGCAGATGAAGAAGGTATGTATGTACAGACGTAAATTCTCGCACGTCAAGGATGAACGAAACGAGGTCAGCCTCCCTGTCTCTCGGTGAAATATATTTGGCATGTGTTCCCAATTGAACACGCGCTGTTGTTTGCACATCATCCATGGATGTAGACGAATCTGCTGCACTGCATGTCGATATGTACGAAGTCGATTGGATCTGTGTTCTTTCAGCCTTTGCGGTGGTCACATGTGCGGCAGGGGAGCGCGAAATTTTACGTGTTGATTCCCTGCGGCGAGACTGATTGTAGAGTGGGCGATCCGCGCACGCGTCCATGCTTCATATGCGCGGGCCGTGTACAACCTACTTCGTATATCGCCAGCAATCTTTGCGCAGCCCTTCTGTACCGCAGTGCCCACACTGACGATGGGATGGTGTTATCCCTCCCTCCAGACAGTCAGCATTGGTGTTTTTCAGAGCGAGGTCCAAGTACATCTAATGTTGACCCTCGACTGCTGGTTTGCTCACCTTTGCCCACAGCATGGAATGTCAGTACATTGCTGTTTTTCCGTACTCAGTATTTTTAGGGTGTTCCCGCGGATAGTAACAAGGGTTAGGGTGGCAGTTCTTACTGCTGTTGGTGACGACAGCGTTGTCGTTGTTGTTCACCCCGTTGTTTTCGTTGTACTGTATACTGTATGGTCTTCCACCTTGCGCCTGGCATGATGACGATCACGGACAGGATGGAGCGGCGGCGGAAGCTATCCAAGCGGAAGTCGGAAAGCTGCAAGGGTTGAAGGCCAGCCTGGCAAAGGCGACGGCTGCTGTCGAGGCAACGAGCACCTTTGACGGGAAAGGTTAGTGGCCTTGTCCGTACGGCGTGGCGTCTGTTGTTGATCTTGGTGCAGGGTGGTGGTGTTTCGCTGTATTTGTTGTGCTGGTCGTCTTTTTGGCGTTTGTTACGGCGTTTTGGTGGTAACATTCGACCGTGTAAAGGTTAAGGGTGAGGCTTTCTTGTCCCGCGCGTAGCGGCGATGCTTTTCGGCTTGTTCCACTATGCCGATTGCCTGTGAGTCTTATCCTCGTTCTTCTTTTCCCATGAAGTCGTTTGCGTTTGCATTTTACTCCTCTACTGTCGTTTTCATCGAGTGTAACCTGCACATGAGGTTCGAGGTCGGAAGCGAATGTTCTTCAGGAACACCAACAGACCGCGGGGACGCATGATTTCACACAGTTCGCCTCGTTTACAGCAGTATCCATCCTCGATGGTGCCAATCGTTGTCTCGTTTTCGATTGAGATCGTCAAACTTGTTAAGTTGATTTTCGTGCCTATATATCCGAAGGACTGTTCTGTTCTAATCGGTGTCTCCCCCCCCCCCCGGTGCCTGCCTCTCTTTTTTCCGCGAAAAAAAAAAAAAAAGCCATGGACGATTTGGTGATCCGGCGCATGTTCGTGGTTCCGTCGTTCGAGATCCACGGAGGCGTGTCCGGTCTTTACGACCTCGGCCCTCCCGGGTGCGGCCTCAAGGGGAACATCGTGTCCCTCTGGAAGCAGCACTTCATTCTGGCGGAGGGCATGCTGGAGATGGAGTGTACCAACCTCACCCCCGAGAACGTGCTGCAGACGTCCGGTACGGGAATCTTAACACAGTGGTATCATTGGGGGGGCGGGGGGCGGGAGGGGGGGTATCACCGGTTACTTGTGAATTTTCTGATTTTTACAGACGACGTTGGTTGAAATGGAACTAACCGACGGTGGGGGGGGGATCCTGCTGTATCACCAGTGTTCAATTCCTTGTGACTTTTCTGTTTTTACAGACAACATTGGTTGCATTGCAGCTAACCCATTGCGGTGCGCGCGCTGCTTGCGAATGCTATATATGCAAACTGCTGGTGCAGGGCACGTGGACAGATTCACGGACCTGATGGTGAAGGACACCGAGACCGGAGAGTCGCTTCGTGCTGACAAGCTCTTGGAGGACATCATCGACAAGCTCCTCGCTGAAAGTCCCGCTATGCCCACGGTACGCCAGATACCGTTGCCTAGAAGTACTTACCAGTAAGTGAACACAACGAGATCGGCGGATAGACCGGCCGAGTGGACCAGTAACCTAGCGCGAGAATAATGGACCGATGTGGGGTGCATGTCAGAAGAAGATGGACGAATGTTGTCTGTTCGCGCGAGTACCGTGTATCATGCAAACCCCTGTGTCACCTACAGTGCTTTGCGTTGCGTTGCATTACATTGCATTGCATTGCGTTGCACCAGGCGGAGCGTGAGGAACACCTTCGTGTGCAGAGGATGGCGGACGCGTACAGCGCGGAAGAGCTCGGCGAGGTGCTGGACAAGTACGGTGCCAAGTCTCCGCAGAAGAACGACCTGACCAAGCCCTTTCCCTTCAACCTCATGTTTAAGGTAAGCCGTTCGGTTGCGCTAGGTTTTGAACACTTGGTTGGAAGGCGTTCTCGCTTGGACACCGTTTCGTGCGGCGGGCCCTTCGAGCCTTGTTTCTCACGCGAGCACATTCGTTCAGCAGTACTCTGCAGTCACAGGAAAAAGCCTTGGTATTTTGTCTCTTCTGCAGCACGCCCTCTCCCTTTCCATCGCACGATCCAAGGTATAAGTGTTGTTGCGCACGTCTGCAAGAGCGCCCCCCCTCTTGACCACACGACCTCAACACAAACTATTACCATTGTCACCGCCATTGCACCCATCGTGCCCCCCCCCTCTCCCCTGTTGCTACAAGCGTTTTCCTGTCATCACGGGAGGTAGATACCGTGGTTCATATATTTGCGTGTTGTAACACCGACGACAGATCCACGAAGGGTTTCATATCTTGGTCGGGATGTAGGCAGCGTGCGTTTGAAATCGTTTTGCCGGGACTTGAGAAATGGTTCAGTCTTGGGCGTATGCACTCCGCTCTTCTCTACTGCAGGTTTGGCGGACGCCCAAAACTAGGGTATTGGTGTTGCCTGCGTAAGACTCAAGAGTGTAATTCCCTTTCTTACGAAGTGGAATCCTCCTTCTTTTGTCGATCAAAATGACGACCAGATTCGTGTATCTACCTTGGTGCCCTGTCTTCCGTTACCACCCTGCCCTACTCTGCCATGCTCCTGTTTCTGCTGCTCTCTACATCCTATGCACACTCTCCTATTTCTTCTACTGGACTGACCCCGTCTTCTGCTTGCCTCCACCCTTGACCCTTGGAAGTCTACCCTAACCCGCTCGTATCCACTCTGCTCTTCTCTCTCTCTCTCTCTCTCTCTCTCTCTCTCTGGCTTCCTTTTGAAACGACGACACGTAGACTACGATCGGGCCGGAGGGCACGCAGGTGGGATTCTTCCGCCCCGAGACTGCGCAGGGTCTCTTCGTTAACTTCCGCCGACTGCTGGACTACAACGCCCAGAGGATGCCCTTCGCCGCCGCTCAGGTGTAGTTGCAGGGACCGCATTCGCGACGATTTTATTGTTAATGTACTTATGATATAGAGAGGGGGGGTTCGTATCCCCTATCCCTATCCCTAACCCTACCATCCGTAGCCCGCACCCCCTACTACAACCAAGCTTAATACATGTCCTCGTCAAGGCTACTGAGTTTTGTGGGTTGGTGGTTGAACGTTAGTGGTATAATGTCTACCCCCTTGGCTGAGTCGAGATGTGTTAGTGTGAGTTGCTATTATGGTGAAATGCGGATGGATGCGGGGATTGGAAATTTCGTGAATGTTTGTCATTTACTAAGCAAGCTGGGGATTGGTACCAATATTGGAAGTTGTTTATGGCAGGTGAGAGGTGTGCAGCAACTCTCTTTTGCACCTCGAGGGGGTGTTACTTTGTATTTCGGCACCAAACTGTTGGTTGGTTTCTCTTTGTTCGTGCGTTTTGTTCTTGGTTGTTGATAATCATTGCCTGGTTTTGTGAGTATTGTCGCAAGTATACATAACTTTGCGTGCTGTCGTGCGCGACGGTTGTACAAGCACCACAACACGTTTGTTGTGGAACACCCGCGCCTCGTGTCCCCCTGTAACACGATGGTCCCCCCTCTCAGCGATTACAGTATTTCTCGGTCACACCGCAATGCATCCCCTCGTCCAGTCCATATTTTCACATGTTGCGACGCTCCTCGCCCCCCCCCCCCCTCATTTTTTACATTTTCTGGTAAAGGGGGTCTGGGGTTCCCTAACGAGATCTCCCCCCGTGCTGGAATCCTGCGAGTTCGCGAGTTCTGCATGGCAGAGGTGAGACCAGGGTAGGGGAGCAAAGCAGCGAGCGAAGAGCCGGCCGGGCATTGCTGCTTTACAACGGTAGTAGACTGAGCGCGTGGAGAAATTTCGTTCGTCTGTTGTCTGTGAAGGGAGGGCGATGAGAGAGAGATCCGCCCTCTGCCTGTTGTTGTCGTGCGGAGGGTGGTGGCGATTACGGGGGGGGGGTTGTCGCTACACGTTCCAGTTGCGGGTGCTGGCTGAGTAGTGGATGGTTAGCTGCCTACAAGTATTGGTTCTTTTTCTGCGAAGTTGCGAACGCGCAGGGGGGCGGCCCCGCGTGCGCTGCATTTTTCCCTGCCTACACGTCTCTCGCGCACTATTACCTTTTTTATCCGAGTCACCCCTGTGGGATTATTTTTTTTGCGGTATCGTTCTGCATCTGGTGGGAGTTGGTGCTCGTAACGTAAGAGAGAAGAGGCGTTTTGTCGATACGTAAATAGTTGCGTGTCGTGTCGTGTCGTGTCATGCTTGTGGTGCTCGCCATTCCTTTCTCATCGCGCGCCTGCTCGCGATTTTTTCAACTTGTCAAGTGTTAAATAGTATACTAATTTATTACTTTCTTTTGCTTTACATTTACAGATCGAGCACTTCGTTGACCCCAAGGACAAGAAGCACCCCAAGTTCGCTGCCATCGCGGACAAGGAGCTCGTGCTATTCGGGCAGGTGCGTTGGTGGTGTGATAAACGTAACTGTCGATAGCGAAGCGTGAACGGTAGAAGTGTGTCTTGTGGACGCGGACGTCTGAAGTGCAGCTATACATAGCGTACCGTGGTATAACCGTGCCGGTGGCAGACGACGTGGCACATGCCGGGTCACGCGCCGCCGGTGTGTAGTCAGTAAAGGGTACCGTTGCATGCAGATCGAACAGTGGGAATCTTAATGTTTGGACGGTTGATGAACTCCAGCTTGAAAATCGGCGAGCGGTTTGTGGTACATACCACCATGCTGCTGTAAAGTGCTCGCCAAAGCGTTGGCACCTCTCGCTCTCCTCGACACGTGCTTCTACCGTTGTCTCAGAAAACATGTGGTGTTGCTATTGTGTACTGTTGTGTGCTTGCACTGCTGTTTCAAAAAATACGTGGTATGTACCGCTGTGCTTGCGTGCTTTGTGTTGCCTTGGTTGGTGATGTCCACAGGACGCCCAACTTGGGACCGGCAAGACGAGCAAGATGACGATCGGGCAGGCGGTCAAGGACGGTCTGGTCGACAACGAGACGCTCGGGTACTTCATGACCCGCACACAGCTCTTCTTGGAGATGGTGGGCCGTGTTGTTCTTGCGCGCGCCGTGATTGTTGTGGTGACCCACCTCCCTTTCGTAGCTATTATAGAGTAGGTCGATTGCTCCACACCCGAGAGGGCACCGCTAACGGTGGCTTTGGAAGGGTGTCGTCGAAGAAGGCATGGTTGTCCTCACACGAAAGCCGTCACAGCGTTGGCTCGAAGCCATCGTCTTAGCGTATGTAGCAACTAAATAGTTCAACCTCCAAACACATCACGACGCGGTGCTATTCCCGCAGATCGGGATGGACCCTAAGCGCATGCGGTTCCGACAGCACCTCTCGACGGAGATGGCTCACTACGCCGCCGACTGCTGGGACATGGAAATCCAAGTCTCTGACGGCTGGACCGAGTGTGTGGGTCACGCCGACAGGTGCGACGAAGGGGAAGCCGCGGTAGGGAGTTCACGTTTTTGTTTTTTGGTGTGGAGGGGGGTCGTTTGTTTCGTTCGCCGGCGAGGGGGATCCAAATGGTTATTTGGGGGGGGGGGGGGGGGGGGGGACCCCCAGGGAAACCCTGTGATGCCCAAAACCTTTTGGGGCCTTTTTTTTCCGGAAAAACGGGCCCAAAAAAAAAAAGGCGTATACAAAAAAAAAACAAAAACAAAAAATTTTTCCCGGGGGGAACCCCCCGGGGGGACTTTAAAAAAAAAACGGGCGGGGGAAAGGGACTGGACCCCCCCCTTGGGCGGTTTTTTTTCCTTTGGCCTGGGGGGGCCGTTTTTTTCCCAAACACTTTGGGGTTTTTGCTTGTCTTTCCAAAAAAGGGGGTTGGGGGTGCGGGAAAAAAAGGTAACAAAGGGCGAGGTTTTTTTTTTTTTTGAGGTTTCGGGACCCCCAACCCTCCCCTTTCTACCGCGGGTTTTTTGGGAAAAACCCACCCCAAACCCCCCCTTTTTTTGGGCCAACTTGGGTGCT